GTTCGGGTTTCTTTTCTCCTTCATCATCCTCTTTCTGTGATCTGTGTTCGGGTTTCTTTTCTCCTTCATCATCCTCTTTCTGTGATCTGTGTTCGGGTTTCTTTTCTCCTTCATCATCCTCTTTCTGTGATCTGTGTTCGGGTTACTTTCACCTTCATCATCCTATTTCTGAGATCTGTGTTCGGGTTTATTTTCTCATTCATCATCCTATTTCTGTGATCTATGTTCGGGTTTATTTTTACCTTCATCATCCTTTTTCTGTTATCTGTGTTCGGGTTTATGTTCTCCTTCATCATCCTATTTCTTTGATCTGTGTTCGGGTTTATTTTCCCTTTCATCATCCTATTTCTGTGGTCTGTGTTCGGGTTTATTTTAACCTTCATCATCCTATTTCTGTGGCCTGTGTTCAGGCTTATTTTCACCTTCATCATCCTATTTCCGTGATCTGTGTTCGGGTTTATTTTAACCTTCATCATCCTATTTCTGTGATTTTCTGTGGTTTGTGTTCAGCTTTATTTTCACCTTCATCATCCCATTTCTGTGTTCTGTTTTCGGGTTTATTTTCTCCTACATCATCCTATTTCTGTGATCTGCGTTCGGGTTTATTTTCTCCTTCACCATCCTATTTCTGTGGGTTGTGTTCAGCTTTATTTTCACCTTCATCATCCCATTTCTGTGTTCTGTTTTCGGGTTTATTTTCTCCTTCATCAACCTATTTCTGTGATCTGTGTTCGGGTTTCTTTTCTCCTTCATCATCCTCTTTCTGTGATCTGTGTTCGGGTTTATTTTCAACTTCATCATCCTATTTCTGTGATTTTCTGTGGTTTGTGTTCAGCTTTATTTTCACCTTCATCATCCCATTTCTGTGATCTGTTTTCGGGTTACTTTCACCTTCATCATCCTATTTCCGTGATCTGTGTTCGGGTTTATTTTCAACTTCATCATCCTATTTCTGTGATTTGTGTTCGGGTTTATTTTCTCCTTCATGATCCTATTTCTGTGATCTGTGTTAGGGTTTATTTTCTCCTTCATCATACTATTTCTGTGATCTGTGTTCGGGTTTCTTTTCTCCTTCATCATCCTCTTTCTGTGATCTGTGTTCGGGTTATTTTCACCTTCATCATCCTTTTTCTGTGATCTGTGTTCGGGTTTCTTTTCTCCTTCATCATCCTCTTTCTGTGATCTGTGTTCGGGTTTCTTTTCTCCTTCATCATCCTCTTTCTGTGATCTGTGTTCGGGTTACTTTCACCTTCATCATCCTATTTCTGTGATCTTTGTTCGGGTTTATTTTCATCTTCATCATCCTATTTCTGTGATCTCTGTTCGGGCTTATTTTTACCTTCATCATCCTATTTCTGTGCTCTGTGTTCGGGTTTATTTTCCCTTTCATCATCCTATTTCTGTGGTCTGTGTTCGGGTTTATTTTTACCTTCATCATCCTTTTTCTGTTATCTGTGTTCGGGTTTATGTTCTCCTTCATCATCCTATTTCTTTGATCTGTGTTCGGGTTTATTTTAACCTTCATCATCCTATTTCTGTGTTCTTTGTTCGTGTTTATTTTCACCTTCATCATCCTATTTCTGAGATCTGTGTTCGGGTTTATTTTCAACTTCATCATCCTATTTCTGTGATTTTCTGTGGTTTGTGTTCAGCTTTATTTTCACCTTCATCATCCCATTTCTGAGATCTGTTTTCGGGTTTATTTTCTCCTTCATGATCCTATTTCTGTGATCTGTGTTAGGGTTAATTTTCACCTTCATCATCCTATTTCTGAGATCTGTGTTCGGGTTTATTTTCCCCTCCATCATCCTATTTCTGTGATCTGCGTTCGGGTTTATTTTCTCCTTCACCATCCTATTTCTGTGGGTTGTGTTCAGCTTTATTTTCACCTTCATCATCCCATTTCTGTGTTCTGTTTTCGGGTTTATTTTCTCCTACATCATCCTATTTCTGTGATCTGTTTTCGGGTTACTTTCACCTTCATCATCCTATTTCTGAGATCTGTGTTCGGGTTTATTTTCACCTTAATCATCCTATTTCTGTGATCTGTTTTCGGGTTTATTTTCACCTTCATTATCCTATTTCTGTGATCTGTGTTCAGGTTTATTTTCACCTTCATCATCCTTTTTCTGTGATCTGTGTTCGGGTTTTTTTTCTCCTTCATCATCCTATTTCTTTGATCTGTGTTCGGGTTTATTTTCTTCTTCATCATCCTATTTCTGTGATTTTCTGTGGTTTGTGTTCAGCTTTATTTTCACCTTCATCATCCCATTTCTGTGTTCTGTTTTCGGGTTTATTTTCTCCTTCATCAACCTATTTCTGTGATCTGTGTTCGGGTTTCTTTTCTCCTTCATCATCCTCTTTCTGTGATCTGTGTTCGGGTTACTTTCACCTTCATCATCCTATTTCCGTGATCTGTGTTCGGGTTTATTTTAACCTTCATCATCCTATTTCTGTGCTCTGTGTTCGGGTTTATTTTCCCTTTCATCATCCTATTTCTGTGGTCTGTGTTCGGGTTTATTTTCTCCTTCACCATCCTATTTCTGTGGGTTGTGTTCAGCTTTATTTTCACCTTCATCATCCCATTTCTGAGATCTGTTTTCGGGTTTATTTTCACCTTCATCATCCTTTTTCTGTGATCTGTGTTCGGGTTTCTTTTCTCCTTCATCATCCTCTTTCTGTGATCTGTGTTCGGGTTTCTTTTCTCCTTCATCATCCTCTTTCTGTGATCTGTGTTCGGGTTTCTTTTCTCCTTCATCATCCTCTTTCTGTGATCTGTGTTCGGGTTTATTTTCACCTTCATCATCCTTTTTCTGTGGTCTGTGTTTGGGTTTATTTTCACCTTCATCATCCTATTTCTGTGGTCTGTGTTCAGGTTTATTTTCACCTTCATCATCCTATTTCTGTGATCTGTGTTCGGGTTTATTTTCGCCTTCATCATCCTTTTTCTGTGGTCTGTGTTTGGGTTTATTTTCACCTTCATCATCCTTTTTCTGTGGTCTGTGTTTGGGTTTATTTTCTCCTTCATCATCCTATTTCTGTGATCTGTGTTCAGGTTTATTTTCATTTCTGATATCCCTTGGTGATTTTTTTTCTGGTTGTGACTTAAAATTTACAAGCCTGATCTCTGTCGATGACGCTTCTCTTCTGTACCTTCTTCTATTTTCCTTACACCCGATTCGATGGTTTGTATAGTTGGAAATTGTTTTTTCACTGAAAGCAATACATCAAGTTCTCTACATGATTACCTACCAAGTGCTGATATTGGGCATCCGAAATCTTGGTGTTCCTCGAGCGATACCACTGTTTACATGCTTCACATGTTAAAGATGTATCACTATCTACGCTTGTCTCAATAGTGGTTTATATGTTTAATGTGAGCCACTGCACACTCTCTCGGCCCATTGGGATACTGTCCTTCTTTTGTCAATCTCATATTTACAACCCGGTAGCAAAAATTAGTCTTCTGTTCGTGTGATTTTGAACCATCACCGGCGTTTTCCCTATCAGTAGTATAACAAAAGTGCCACGGGGGCGGAGCAATATACATGATCATTTGTCACATGTCTAACTAACCTTAAATCTCTGATGCATTAAGTTGCATTGAAATGTTTGAGAAATTTGGAAATGTAACAAAAAGGAACAACATTAGAACTATAAATATACTCAGTTAAGTTGTGTAACAGACAAGGAATATGAGGGGCAATAAAACTGACATACTGGTGAGATATTTTTCTAGCGTTACAGGACAACCCTGAGACTCGATCACTTGTTCAGCAATGTCGAGTGTGGTCAATGGTTGTATGGCAACGTGCCCGCCCGCACGTTATAATTGAATCATTTCCAGGATCTGGTGGTTTCAAAGTTATATTTTACCCACTTTAGCTGAAGGAATATATTTTATATGCAAATTTATGTCATATAACCTAAACACATTTTTAAAATCCTGAACTTAATAGAAAATTCTTCCCTTAAATTCGTCCCTATTTCCAACAATACAAAAGAAATGAGTGTTGCCACCCTTTGCCAATAATCGATCAACCATCTTAACCCATTAAAACCGAAACTATTTCTGAGTATTAATCTTTATATTGCAAGATGTCACTGATAGTTTGTTCAAAATACAGTTATATTTCGCTAAGCAATGATGTGGAAACCTCAAGTCCAACCGATCAGAGCGCACTATGCTAATAATGCTCAGATATATGATCAAGTTCCAACTCGACATTTATCTATCTATAATATTTTTGATATTTACCAAGTTTCATCTGAATTAAGCAATTTCTATTACATTATAGTGCTGAAATTGCGCAGGGTTTGCTCAAATTCGAACTATTGTCTTTTAATATAAGTATGAACTAACTTTCAGAAGAATGCGGTCATATCTGATGAGTTATTTTGCGGAAACCGTTGAATAATCAGAGCATTACTTGCTGGTGAATTATGCGCAAATTTTGCTCAACTCCAAACATGCTTTACTATGCCTACACTATATTATTGCCTGTTTCACCTTTACCGACCCAAATCATAAAATCATGGGTATAGGTATAGGTAGGGAAATTATATTTTTCAAATTTGTTTTTATTGATACTGTAATTAGTAACTTAAAATTCGAACAGAATACCAGTAGTACAAGTACGATTCTTTTTTAACAATTAACAAAACTATAAAAAAAAAATCTTTCTGGAAAATGTCAATAAAATATTTTGGGTACTGTAGGGAATATTTTGGTTGGTAAGTAGGTAAATGGGGAAACAAACAATATTTTATTTTAGGCCCTATAAAGTTTCAATATTTTCAAAAATAGTTAATCAAAATGTGGACAGATGAACGCTCCCCATACTGTAATAAAAAATGGTTATAAACATCAAAATTGGAAGCTATCATGCATGTAATACCATATTTTAAAACGAACAATTCTAGTCCAAAAACTAATTCTAAGTGCTCCTAATCGAACGCGACATAACTCTGTCAATCTAACGCTTGTAGAGAGAGAAGCGTTTCAGGGAGAGCGACTATATTGAAAATGGCAGCTTCCGGGTTTACGTTGGAAGCTGTCAGAAATTTTATTGTACAACGGGGAAATAAAGTCACAAATCATGAACTCGTCACACGATTCAAATCAGACTTAAATGATCCACAATTCAAGGGTAAGTATTCAATTTGGGAAAGGATGGTGATTATTGTATGTAAGCTCGAACCTATGTACCAAAGTTAGGCCAGTCTTGTTTGCAAGATAACAGGTTCTGCATTTAAATATCACATGATCGTATACGGTTTCTAATGTGTGATTTTTGTCATCACATCTGTGTACTTAACCCCCTATCTGTTAAAGCCATTCTGGTCTCTGGGGAGTATAATATAGATAGATACAAGCCCATAATAAGACCAAATATACGAATGCTGTTTTCTAGTTTTAGACCCAAGCTACGCAAACACCATAAATCGATCAGGGGGAAAAAAGAGGAAAAAAGAATGTAACATAAGCAACAAAAAACAAGCTATTTCATTACAATATACTTAATTCAGAACACAATGAGGAGTAAAACATATATGACATCCAGGATTTAAATTATATTTTGCTCACATAATAATGTGGAACAGTTTGCATAAGTACAAACTACAATCAATAAATTTAAAGTAATTAAACTATTTATCTAATTGTAACTTGAAATTGTGATGTGTGCGTCTAGTTATGTTGTTGAAATTGGATTTAAAAAAATATATATATATATTAAGCAATGAAACACACAAAGCTACATAAAATAAACCACAGTAATTATTTCCTTTTCTTTAGCATGAAATTTAACCAAAATTGACCCCATTTTCTTTCCAGTTTGCCCCTGTATGTCATAAGTAAAGCAAAACTGTCTAGCTTTTTCAAATTGCTCAATACATTGCAGAAAATGTACCCATAATATATATTTCATATAGTGTTTTTCTATAACTTGGTATACATATTCTTTATATTTCAGGTAAAAATAGAGAAAATTTCAAGGACTTTGTAAATACTCTTGCAACTATCAAGGTTGATGAGGTAGGTACTTGAAAACTTAAAAAGTCTGATAGTAATGGCATTTTAAGAGCTAGAATATTTCAGGAGCATTTATAAGAATGACTGAAGATAAAATATTTACCTCTGGATATAAGTGTCAAGGTACATGTATGAAGTTTGTGTGCTTCGTACACCAATTGTTTTCCATTTGATGTGGACTTAAAGGATTCATGTTTTGCATGTAAAATGTCAATGATTTGATAACTACATCTTGTAGTGGGTGTGCTTTGTGGTTGAAATGGATTGCTACATATGGCTGTCTCTATATTTTCTTGTCCAATAGATGATGGGACATATAAACTCATGTTACAGTTAGGATTCCATTACATATTGTTCTCGTTTGGAGTTAGCAGATATACAAGGCTCTCCCATATATATTTGGTATGTCTCGTTTGGAGTTAGCAGATATACAAAGCTCTCCCATATATATTTGGTATGTCTCGTTTGGAGCTAGCAGATATACAAGGCTCTCCCATATATATTTGGTATGAAAGGATATTTTTTCCTTGACAACTGTCTTCATATATTTAAGTCACTGGTGATATAGGATTATCTATACAATATGGATGAAGTTGGATGGATTTTATCACACAACATGTTTTCTATATTGAATTATCAAAGCACATGTTATTGTTGTTTGATACATGCAGCTTAATTGAACTACAATGTAAGTAAAACCTACAGCTGTGAAAATAGGTTATAAAACGATTTTGCGAAAAACATTGTAGTAATTTTTAGTGGGTTATGAGAACAGGCCAAGGAGACAAACAGTATTTAAATTAATTTTGGTCTTAATCAAGCTTTTAATGGGAGGTACAATAAAAAAAAAAGACGATGCCCGTCACATTGTTTTCCTTCACTTGCAAAACTATAACCCAGAGATAGTTATTGATGAAAATAACCCAAATTGGTCCTCTGGTTTTTATACGCCCGTCGAAATTCAACGTGGGTATTATGGTATAGCGTCTGCGTCCGTCCGTCTGGTTAAAGTTTTGGTGCAAGTTTCTTCAGTGGTATACAGTTCAGTCAGATCATGTGTTATTGTCCTAATTTTTGGCATGGGTGTCATGTGGGGTCTAACAAGGACAATATGGATTTAATTTTGGGAAAATAATTTCTATTTTTGTAAATTTTGGACTTTAGCAACAAACGCATCAGTGCAAGCATTTTTATCACATAGACATGACACTGGCTACCAGGTACTTTAAATATCAAACAAACAAAAAATCATTTGATGGGTCAGACTGGATTATGCATCCGTTTGCAGTGCTCTTGTTAATTCCTTATTTCTCAAATTGTTTTGAGCCTTAAGACTAGCTTTTTCAAATATGAGTAGAAAACCCCTGGACTAAAAATTCTAAAAAAGAAATGTTTATGTAATGATAGTGCGTCATGATCATATATAGATAGCAAAGCTCAATATCCTAGCAAAATTTACCAACATATAAAAAAAAAAGCATAATTTTTGGTAGATGACTCTAAATAGTTCAAAGATTCTAATATAACACGAATATTTCAAAGATTCTAATATAACACAAAACAATATTAATGCCTGGCTTGGACCAAACTTTCAGAAAGACTAGACTAGCTCTAATATTGATAAGTGTGTATTTCTATTTGTCATTAGCGAGGTGAAAAAGTTCTGGTGCTGAAAAAGAAATTTAGATCTGATACTACAGAGCAAGGACAAAAGTTGAATGACAGTCAAGACCCCAGAAATGATATCAGAGCTAGCTCTGAGCCCCCAACCAACCCAGGGGGTTCAGATCAAGTTGATGGAGGCGGCATGTCCAAAGTACGCAGCGAGACAAATATCACTTCAAGGGAGACAACCCCAGATATGTCAATGACTGGGAGTGCCAGCATGGGGACTATTTCGATGTCATCAGCAGCATCGTCTTCGGTAATTATAAACATTCCATAGTGAATAGTGCTTGACTATCAGGTTAAATGATCAGGAGTCAGACGGGTAAACTATTCAGACTAGCCTTCATTTCCCACAGCTTTATAGGCCATGCTGACTAGAATACAAGTCCAGTTCCAAGGATTAGTTGTCATTACATCAACATTCCAGACATACAAGTTATGTTATTTTTAATATACCCTTTGTAAGACTTCTTGTATACATTACCTGAACAAGTACAATAATCCTTTTATTGATTGTCAGTATGAATAGTCGCCTTAGTAAGTTACCTGTTATAGCAATGACAAAATAAGGTAATACTGAGACAGAGGCTGGCATTTCTAGTGTGAATAGTCACATAAGTAAGTTACCTGTTGTAGCAATGACAAAATAAGGTAATACTGAGACAGAGACTGGCATTTCTAGTGTGAATAGTCACCTAAGTAAGTTACCTGTTGTAGCAATGACAAAATAAGGTAATACTGAGACAGAGGCTGGCATTTCTAGTGTGAATAGTCACCTAAGTAAGTTACCTGTTGTAGCAATGACAAAATAAGGTAATACTGAGACAGAGACTGGCATTTCTAGTGTGAATAGTCAACTAAGTAAGTTACCTGTTGTAGCAATGACAAAATAAGGTAATACTGAGACAGAGGCTGGCATTTCTAGTGTGAATAGTCACCTAAGTAAGTTACCTGTTATAGCAATGACAAAATAAGGTAATACTGAGACAGAGGCTGGCATTTCTAGTGTGAATAGTCACCTAAGTAAGTTACCTGTTATAGCAATGACAAAATAAGGTAATACTGAGACAGAGACTGGCATTTCTAGTGTGAATAGTCACCTAAGTAAGTTACCTGTTATAGCAATGACAAAATAAGGTAATACTGAGACAGAGGCTGGCATTTCTAGTGTGAATAGTCACCTAAGTAAGTTACCTGTTATAGCAATGACAAAATAAGGTAATACTGAGACAGAGACTGGCATTTCTAGTGTGAATAGTCACCTAAGTAAGTTACCTGTTATAGCAATGACAAAATAAGGTAATACTGAGACAGAGGCTGGCATTTCTAGTGTGAATAGTCACCTAAGTAAGTTACCTGTTATAGCAATGACAAAATAAGGTAATACTGAGACAGAGACTGGCATTTCTAGTGTGAATAGTCACCTAAGTAAGTTACCTGTTATAGCAATGACAAAATAAGGTAATACTGAGACAGAGGCTGGCATTTCTAGTGTGAATAGTCACCTAAGTAAGTTACCTGTTATAGCAATGACAAAATAAGGTAATACTGAGACAGAGACTGGCATTTCTAGTGTGAATAGTCACCTAAGTAAGTTACCTGTTATAGCAATGACAAAATAAGGTAATACTGAGACAGAGGCTGGCATTTCTAGTGTGAATAGTCACCTAAGTAAGTTACCTGTTATAGCAATGACAAAATAAGGTAATACTGAGACAGAGGCTGGCATTTCTAGTGTGAATAGTCACCTAAGTAAGTTACCTGTTATAGCAATGACAAAATAAGGTAATACTGAGACAGAGGCTGGCATTTCTAGTGTGAATAGTCACCTAAGTAAGTTACCTGTTATAGCAATGACAAAATAAGGTAATACTGAGACAGAGGCTGGCATTTCTAGTGTGAATAGTCACCTAAGTAAGTTACCTGTTATAGCAATGACAAAATAAGGTAATACTGAGACAGAGGCTGGCATTTCTAGTGTGAATAGTCACCTAAGTAAGTTACCTGTTATAGCAATGACAAAATAAGGTAATACTGAGACAGAGGCTGGCATTTCTAGTGTGAATAGTCACCTAAGTAAGTTACCTGTTATAGCAATGACAAAATAAGGTAATACTGAGACAGAGGCTGGCATTTCTAGTGTGAATAGTCACCTAAGTAAGTTACCTGTTATAGCAATGACAAAATAAGGTAATACTGAGACAGAGGCTGGCATTTCTAGTGTGAATAGTCACCTTAGTAAGTTATACTGAGACAGAGGCTGGCATTTCTAGTGTGAATAGTCGCCTTAGTAAGTTATACTGAGACAGAGGCTGGCATTTCTAGTGTGAATAGTCGCGTTAGTAAGTTATACTGAGACAGAGGCTGGCATTTCTAGTGTTACTTCAACACTATAATCATAGTTTAAACAAAACAAAAATCATAAGATTATTAAAATGATGGTTGATAAAAAAACTTTAATATTCTAGTTAATATGCATTGAGATTGGCATGTAACCATTAAAGCACTTATACATATGTAGATGGTTTGTTTTAAGTTGAAAACCAAATTGTTCCCTGTTTCATATATTGAGTATGCAATGCATGTTTCATGTTTTTAAAGCATGTTTTCATGATAATTCCCCCTTGTTTAAATTCACATCATTATCTAGAGTATTGTGAGTTAGAAGTACTAGTGATCCTGTTCAAAACCTTGTTTTGCTATCAGACAATACATATGCAAGACCACACACTTGTGTTTTTCTAACGAATCAGAAAGCACAAGTGTATTGTGCGGACGAATATATTCACGAGTGCGCGGAGCGCAACGAGTGAATATATACGTCTGCGCAATAAATGAGTGCTTTCTGATTCGTCAGAAAAACACAAGTGTGTGGTCTTGCTTTGATCACATTCCTTCCGTATTTGGTAGAGATCGATACAAAGATTTTATAAACTTTGATATTTTTTACAAATATTGGGAACTTTTCAGTTCGCCATGATAAGGGGATTCCCATAAAATGTAGTTCCGGCTTGTAGGTAAATACAACATTCCGTATTGCACATGTGCAATACAGAACATTGTATTTCATGGTCTGAAAATTAAATTGCTTGTATTAATTACTATAACAAGATTTCAACAGGTATGTGATAAATAGGTATATCAAAGACATTTAATACATTTATATTAGCTAATTAAAAAATTAACATAACAACAGTGAAATAAAAATGTAATTGTGTTTCCATTTAAATAGTATTTGTAACAGTACATGAATTACCATATATTTAAATTAGTTTATCATTGCCTTGATTGTTCAAAAGGTGCTTTCTTAAAAATAGTATGTTTTCTTAAAATCTTAAATGACATATTTTCTAGTTTTTAATTCTATGGAAACCTGAAAAATAAGTGAATTTACTGTACTCCAGAACATATGACAGTATTTAAAATAGATACTATTGGTCATTCCTAACATGTAAAATGGTGTCTGACTTTTGAGCTCACCTGGTCCAAAGGACCGGTTAACTTATGCCATGGCACAGCCTCCGTCGTCCGTCCGTCAACTTTTCCTTTAAAACACTACTATAGCTAGTCCCGATAGGGATAAAGGGATTTTATCTAAATTTAGTCTAGAGCGTCCTTTGGCCAAGGGGACTAAATTTAGTCTAGAGCGTCCTTGGGCCAAGGGGACTAAAATTAGGCTAGAGCATCCTTTGGCCAAGGGGACTAAATTTAGTCTAGAGCGTCCTTTGTCCAAGGGGACTAAATTTTGTATAAACGGTGGGTGTAACCTCCCTGGGGGCAGAGGGGTATGGGCCGAATAGGTAAATAGTGGTTAACCTTTAAAATCTTTCTTCTACCATAGGGATGAAGGTATTTTATCCTAATTTGGTCTAGAACTCTTTTTGTATAAACAGTGAGTTTGGGCCCCGTGGAGGCAGAGGGGAGGGTCCAATAGGGGGAAATAGAGGTAAAATCTTTGACATTCTTCTCCTACCATAGGGGTAAATGGATTTTATCCTAATTTGGTCTTGAGCAGCCTTAGGCCAAGATGACTTAATTTTGTATGAACGGTTGGTGTGGCCCCTTTGGGTGCAGAGGGGCGGGGCTCGAAAGGGGAAATTGAGGTTTAAATCTTCAAAATCCTTCTTCCTCTGTACCACTGGAGGTATTTTATGTAATAAGAATAATTTCCCATGGTTGCTTTATTATCAAGGTGAGCGATACAGGCCCTCTGGCCCTCTTGTTTTCATTATTAATGTTAATTAGTGGTAATAAACTTCCAAGTATATACTGTATTTCCTTGCCAACCATTTGGACTATAAGCTAGTGATCATGTGACTTTGATTGGTGACCGTGATTGGTTAACTTATTAGTTACTCACTACATCAGTATTAGATAACATTCTGAACAAGATGTAGATCAGAAAAGACAACAGACTGTATGTCTATAGATAATGTCTGTACAATTCCATTGTCCCTGTTTGTCAACGAATGTGGAAGTCACCACTTTTCTCAATATTTCAGTTTATTGATAATATGTATAACATGTGTAATGTGTATACGGTATGTTAAAATTATATTCAGATAAAAGAATAGAAATTAAGACTGACATTTTAAATCTTCCTTTTGACAGTTGATCAATGTTTTAGCTTTTTGTCATCAATGAATGCACATGTCATACTCTGCACGTACACAACATTACAGCACAATGCTTACTTTGTCATTATTACATTTAGTCCGGTCAATCTATATTTTGCTTACTTTGGCAATTTTAAGGCTTTTTTGCCAGAAGTAATTATATATAAAGAATCTGGTGGATGAAGCTTACAGGTATATAATCCTACGTGTACACCTTTTTGTTGTCCCAGATATACTGTGGTTATTATTACTAATATTTGAGTGATGAACATAAAAAACGAAGGTAAGTTTGGACCAGAATTAATCAATGTTTTAGAGGAAACTTTACTTTGGAAAAAAAACAGCATTAATTTAACATTTCTACAAACAATTTTCTTTAATAACAATTTTACTTCTAATTTTAAAAAAAAATACAAAACTTTTGAGGTCAATTTCGGGTGAAAACATTTCTAATAGAAATAGTTTAGGAATCCTGTCAATTTTTCTCAAATACTCATATTTTTAAACATAGCACATCACCATCTGCTGTTGTCAACTGATATAAAAATCAGGATCATCTCACTCTGACTCATCATCACATATTTACATTCCTTACAATTTATTTACCATTTCTTTAAGTTACATGTGTGCAAGCCTAAAAGTTTTGTCTTTGCATGTATCGGATATCATGTCTTGTTATCTATTTAGTTACTTGTATGTTCTGTATTTCACCCCATAATATTATTGTGTGATGACCACTTTTGACCTTTGGGCGGTTTTGTACCCGTTTGACCTTCCAGGTATCCCAGGGTTCCCAGCAGTCCATTGCGTCCAGTGCAGACTTGGAAGACGATGTGAATGCCTCGGTCATAAGTGTCAAGGACCGTGCCAAACATTTGAATCGCATGGAGACAGAATCTGAATTACAGCGAGTCAGCCACCCTAAAAAGAAAGACATACGAGTCAGTTTTATACTATTAGGGGGGTTTACCTAATATTCTTGTGAAGACTTTCTGTAAATAAAGAAAAATAGAAAAAGAAATTATACTGTGAACATAGCAACTATAATCTAGACAGAAAGTATCTTACCACTTTTACCGTAAAACTATGTATACACTGTTATGGATACATGATTTGTGTACAAACAGTGATATAGAAATTTATCATCATGATTAAATCAGGAAATGTCTTTAACTAACGGTAATAAAATTTACATTCGCTCGGCATCAACATTTTTTCTGGATTAAGGATTAAAAAGTTTCCAATCTGCTGCACATATTCCTTTGTAATACAAATAAATCTGATATAAAATTATGTTTGTTACCTGCACAAAAAAATCTAAAAGCATTCCACATAAAATAGTTTCCTTGCCAAGATACACCTAGATAATCTGATTAACATGTTAGACAGGTGTGCATTGGATATTATGTGGTAATTCTCAATCATTATAAACAGCTTAACACATCTTATGGGAGATAACTCATCACAGATCACATATAGGACTCATTCTCAACAGCCAAACAGTTACTGGCAATGGTCATTTTAGGATGTGTTCTTAAATCTGGGACTTGTTACAAAGAGTTTAACAGAAACTCAAACAAGTATGAGCTGATTACAGTCATAGTTTCTGGGTGCATACATAATATTATAACCAAAAAAACTAAATTTGTTTTGCTGTTCTCGCTAACTTTCACCAAACTTACGTGATTCTGCATATAACTCTTACATTCTGCTTCACTGGTTACAGTTAACATTGTATAACTAGAAATATTTATTTTATTGAAGATATTTCAATACGAACCCTAACAACACAATGTATATTAATTAACCCTAGTTGTCGATGCATGGCAAGCTGCATGAATTATCTTACAATTTGTTGTATTTCAAATTAGGAGTTACCTAAGTTTTTCCCTTACATGTTCGTAATTGTAGATAGTATTTTATATAAACGCTGTTTATTATTAATTTTCCAGCTTCGACAAAAAAATAGCATTCAGTGCTAAACGCAAGTTAAAGAAATATAAAATTGCTATATGAATTGAAAATTTAATTTAAGATTTAGGTCAGTATATTTGTTGAGATAATAATTCAAATTATGGGCTTGAGTTGTAAATTGGTCTTTTAGAGTGTCATCAGTTTGTTTCTTGGCATTTATTTGTTTTCCATCGATCAAAGTAACATTCTGTCTGCCTTTTAAGTTGTCATCACTTTTTTTACTTTGAATGGAAAAGCTGTTCCAAAGTCTGTATATTGAATTCAACATTATAACTCTCTTAAATATCAGCACACTTTGAACTGTATTTTTGTAAACTTGGTGTGTGAATTCGATAGTTTTATTGAAGTGGTTTTCTCTGGATTTGAATAGAAAACTATACGTTTTGTTTGTATAATCTTTGTTTGCTAGAAATATTATTAAAAGAAGACTTGATGAAATAGATGAACATGTTAGAAAATTTTACAATTTTTAGCTTGATTCCAAATGTCATTTAAATGAAAAATATTACAATAGAATGTACTCATTTGCCAAGTAAGTAGTGTTTCAAAACTTTAATATATATGCATGGTCATGGTGGGATGTTTCAATTTCAATTTTACTTTCTTTTTATTTGGAATGGGAAATGTAGATTGTATCTATTAACTTACAATGTTCTTAATTTTGTTGGGGAAGCCATTCTATATGTCTAACAGTTTTAATAAAGGGGAAACTATTCTATATGTTTAACAGTTTTAATAAAGGAGAAGCAATTCTATATGTCTAACAGTTTTAATAAAGGAGGAGCCATTTTATATGTCTAACAGTTTTAATCAAGGAGAAGCCATTCTATATGTCTAATAGTTTTAATAAAGGAGAAGCTATTCTATATGGCTAACAGTTTTAATAAAGGGGAAGCCATTTTATATGTCTAACAGTTTTATTAAAGGAGAAGCCATTCTATATGTCTAATAGTTTTAATAAAGGAGAAGCTATTCTATATGTCTAACAGTTTTAATGAAGGTGAGGCTATTCTATATGTTTAACAGTTTTAATAAAGGAGAAGCTATTCTGTATGTCTAACAGTTTTAATAAAGGAGAAGCCGTTTTATATGTCTAACAGTTTTAATAAAGGGGAACCTATTCTATATGTTTAACAGTTTTAATAAAGGAGAAGCTATTCCATATGTCTAACAGTTTTAATAAAGGGGAACCTATTCTATATGTTTAACAGTTTTAATAAAGGAGAAGCAATTCTATATGTCTAACAGTTTTAATAAAGGAGTAGCCATTGTATATGTCTAACAGTTTTAATAAAGGAGAAGCCGTTTTATATGTCTAACAGTTTTAATAAAGGAGAAGCAATTTTATATGTCTAACAGTTTTAATAAAGGAGAAGCTATTCCATATGTCTAACAGTTTTAATAAAGGGGAACCTATTCTATATGTTTAACAGTTTTAATAAAGGAGAAGCTATTCCATATGTCTAACAGTTTTAATAAAGGGGAACCTATTCTATATGTTTAACAGTTTTAATAAAGGAGGAGCTATTCTATATGTCTAACAGTTTTAATAAAGGGGAGGCTATTCTATATGTCTAACAGTTTTAATAAATGGGAAGCTATTCTATATGTCTAACAGTTTTAATAAAGGGGAGGCTATTCTATATGTCTAACAGTTTTAATAAAGGGGAAACTATTCTATATGTTTAACAGTTTTAATAAAGGGGAAGCTATTCTGTATGTCTAACAGTTTTAATAAAGGAGAAGCTATTTTATATGTCTAACAGTTTTAATAAAGGGGAACCTATTCTATATGTTTAACAGTTTTAATAAAGGAGAAGCTATTCCATATGTCTAACAGTTTTAATAAAGGGGAAGCTATTCTGTATGTCTAACAGTTTTAATAAAGGGGAAGCTATTCTGTATGTCTAACAGTTTTAATAAAGGAGAAGCCGTTTTATATGTCTAACAGTTTTAATAAAGGGGAACCTATTCTATATGTTTAACAGTTTTAATAAAGGAGAAGCTATTCTATATGTCTAACGGTTTTAATAAAGGAGAAGCCATTTTATATGCCTAACAGTTTTAATAAAGGAGAAGCCATTCTATATGTCTAACAGTTTTAATAAAGGGGAAACTATTCTATATGTTTAACAGTTTTAATAAAGGGGAAGCTATTCTGTATGTCTAACAGTTTTAATAAAGGGGAAGCTATTCTGTATGTCTAACAGTTTTAATAAAGGAGAAGCTATTCTATATGTCTAACAGTTTTAATAAGGAAGAAGCCATTTTATATGTCTAAAAGTTTTAATAAAGGAGAAGCCATTTTATATGTCTACCAGTTTTAATAAAGGAGAAGCCATTCTATGTCTAACAGTTATAATAAAGGAGAAGCTATTCTATATGTCTAACGGTTTTAATAAAGGAGAAGCCATTTTATATATCTAACAGTTTTAATAAAGGAGAAGCCATTCTATGTCTAACAGTTATAATAAAGGAGAAGCTATTCTATATGTCTAACGGTTTTAATAAAGGAGAAGCCATTTTATATGTCTACCAGTTTTAATAAAGGAGAAGCCATTCTATGTCTAACAGTTTTAATAAAGGGGAAGCTATTCTGTATGTCTAACAGTTTTAATAAAGGAGAAGCTATTCCATATGTCTAACAGTTTTAATAAAGGGGAAACTATTCTATATGTTTAACAGTTTTAATAAAGGAGAAGCTATTCTATATGGCTAACAGTTTTAATAAAGGGGAAGCCATTTTATATGTCTAACAGTTTTAATAAAGGGGAGGCTATTCTATATGTCTAACAGTTTTAATAAATGGAAGCCATTCTATATGGCTAACAGTTTTAATAAAGGGGAAGCTATTCTGTATGTCTAACAGTTTTAATAAAGGAGAAGCCATTTTATATTTCTAACAGTTTTAATAAAGGAGAAGCCATTTTATATGTCTACCAGTTTTAATAAAGGAGAAGCCATTCTATATGTCTAACAGTTTTAATAAAGGAGATGCCATTTTATATGTCTAACAGTTTTAATAAAGGGGAGGCTATTCTATATGTCTAACAGTTTTAATAAAGGGGAGGCTATTCTATATGTCTAACAGTTTTAATAAATGGGAAGCTATTCTATATGTCTAACAGTTTTAATGAAGGTGAGGCTATTCTATATGTTTAACAGTTTTAATAAAGGAGAAGCTATTCCATATGTCTAACAGTTTTAATAAAGGGGAAACTATTCTATATGTTTAACAGTTTTAATAAAGGAGAAGCTATTCTGTATGTCTAACAGTTTTAATAAAGGGGAAGCTATTCTATATGTCTAACAGTTTTAATGAAGGGGAGGCTATTCTATATGTTTAACAGTTTTAGTAAAGGGGAAGCTATTCTATATGTTTAACAGTTTTAATATAGGAGAAGCTATTCTATATGTCTAACAGTTTTTATAAAGGGAAGCCATTCTATATGTTTAACAGTTTTAATAAAGGGGAAGCCATTCTTTATGTCTAACAGTTTTAATAAAGGGGAAGCTATTCTATATGTCTAACAGTTTTAATAAAGGGGAAGCTATTATATGTCTAACAGTTTTAATAAAGGGAAGCCACTCTATACGTCTAACAGCTTTAATAAAGGGGAAGCTATTATATGTCTAACAGTTTTAATAAAGGGAAGCTAATCTATATGTTTAACAGTTTTAATAAAGGAGAAGCTATTCTATATGTATAACAGTTTTAATAAAGGGGAAGCTATTCTATATGTCTAACAGTTTTAATAAAGGGAAGCTAATCTATATGTTTAACAGTTTTAATAAATGAGAAGCTATTCTATATGTCTAACAGTTTTAATAAAGGAGAAGCTATTCTATATGTCTAACAGTTTTAATAAAGGGGAAGCTATTCTATATGTCTAACGGTTTTGATAAAGGGGAGGCTATTCTATATGTCTAACAGTTTTAATAAAGGGAAGCTATTCTATATGTCTAACAGTTTTAATAAAGGGAAGCTATTATATATGTTTAACAGTTTTAAGAAAGGAGAGGCCTTTTATATGTTTAACAGTTTTAATAAAGGAGAAGGCATTCTATATGTCTAATAGTTTTAATAAAGGAGAAGTTATTCTATATGTCTAACAGTTTTAATAAAGGGAAGCTATTCTATATGTTTAACAGTTTTAAGAAAGGAGAGGCCTTTTATATGTTTAACAGTTTTAATAAAGGAGAAGCCATTCTATATGTCTAATAGTTTTAATAAAGGAGAAGCTATTCTATATGTCTAACAGTTTTAATAAAGGAGAAGCTATTCTATATGTCTAACAGTTTTAATAAAGGGGAAGCTATTCTATATGTCTAACAGTTTTAATAAAGAGGAAGCTATTCTATATGTTTAACAGTTTTAATAAAGGAGAAGCTATTCTATATGTTTAACAGTTTTGATAAAGGGGAAGCTATTCTGTATGTTTTTTTAACTTTTCAATAGATATGCTGGTATACCCACTAACGACACTTGGAGCTTTTTCTCTTTTTGTTTAAAGCATGTGTTTTATAAACTGATCAGTTTACTACATAAATGTGTAATGATTACATTTTTTTGCTGTATTTGGAGTAACATGTTTTTTATTATTATTCTACAAATATTAATTACAGTCCCGTGATCGTGAACGAGATGTTGATGACGACTCGCACTCCTATGGGTCTGCCTACACCTCGGTATGTTGGTAGTCTCCCTTGTTGTCTGTATTACCTGTCTAGTTATCTCCCTTAATGACATGCTTAGTTATCCCCATCTTTGTGTCACATGTGAAAGTACCTCCCTTTGATTGTAGTAGATAATAAATTCGCTGATAAATGTTTGAATCATTAAGGAAGACGGACATCAGGTTGAAAACATCCACTTCTACAGATATAATGAATTCTGAATAGATCTCCAATGTGTTTTACATGTACAGCCCTGAAAACTTGGGCAGTTGGTCCAATTTTTGTTTGATATTGTAAGTGTTTGTCACTCACAGTTGGAGCCGCATGAGCGGGAGTGGTTGGTTGTTAGTGCCTCTGGAGACTATCATCCCATGCACAAACTTCTCTCCAAGAATCCTGACCTGGTCCGAGTACGAGTAAGTATTTAAATAAAGAAAACAAAAGTGAAGGCTCTTGCAAGGGTCGGTGTACCGTCATCTGTTAAATTATATTTATTTGAAATTCTAAAGTATCACATACAAGCTCTACTAAGTAACTGATACCTAATGTTATTGATATTGAATTAAACATATACATAATTGCAGTATACCAAGAATACCCATGGCTTATCAGATATCTCTTTTTCCTTATTGTACAATACAAACAGGTGCCTAACCTTTTTAAATACCAAAAATTTACTGAAGTGAAAGAAATCATCTAGGTAAAGTTAAAGATGAAGTTATTGACCTCATTTAGGTGTAACATAAGGCTTTGAGTACCCAGATGGTAACCCCCTCCCTTAGATAGATGGTGGTATTGGTAATACATGTGCATTATCTATAAACTAAAGTCTGACTATTAAGTTACATGGTAGCCATTTTCTGTAAAGTTAAGAAGGCTATCTTACTGTGTATTGATTACAAATTTGGTAATTATTCAAACAGTATTTAATTTTATTCTTTTATTCTTTTTTCCCCCTACTTCCTGTTTCTTTGGAAAGGATTTTACCAATGTAAGTACTGCTGTATAAAATAGAAACTTTGTCTTTATCTCATACTGATCTACAGATAGTTCTATATGATGTAATTATTAGCTCACCTGGTCCAAAGGACCAAGGTGAGCTTATGCCATACCGTGGCGTCCGTCGTCCGTCCGTCCGTCCGTCCGTCGTCCGTCCGTCAACAATTTCTTTAAACGACTTCTTTTTCTTAACCACTGATTGGAATTTTACTAAATTTGACTGGAAGCATCCTTAGGTGGTGGGGAATCAAAATTGTACAAATGGTGGGGCTGACCCCCCAGGGGGCTGAGGGGCGGGGCAAAAAGGGGGCAATTTGGCTATATTGCTTTAAGCGACTTCTTCTCTGGAACTAAGAGATGGATATCAACCATATTTGCCTGGAAGCATCCCTAGGTGGTGGAGATTCAAAATTGTACAAATGGTTGGGCTGACCCCCCAGGGGGCTGAGGGGCGGGGCCAAAAAGGGGGCAATTTGGCTAGATTGCTATAAACGACTTCTTCTGTAGAACTATGCACTGGATATCAATCATATTTAATCAAAAGCATTCATGGGATGCAGGGATTCAAAATTGTACAAATGGTG